GTTCCTCACAACTCTTTTCTTAAGTTAAATTCTTTAGTTATGCTATAATTCATGCCGTCATTATAATTGGAGATCGTTAGTATGTGTTAAAACTCGCTGTTGCTTTCGTCGACCGACGGCTAATGCAAATGTCCAAAGTTCAGCAGGTGAGTCACACATTTTGTAGTTTCCCGAGTTAATCGCAACGTGCAGATTTATAAAAGGGGTTCTGTCCAAGCTATAGCCTTCTATGGCATTGAAACACAGTTGGAAAGATTCATATGGGAAACGTTTTTCCGGTTTCGCCTAGTAATTGTTTTTATGCTTACCAGCAGCTAATTGAAGAACCAAGCTTATTAAACGCATAATTTGACTTTGTCTTTGTTACAAAAAGCTATTTCATGCTTTGTATTGTTTTAGGTGCGTGTTTATAAATTGCTCCGAATTAATTAACAATTGTGTTAACTAGTTCCCCGCTAGTTTCGTTTCGTATGGTTTGCTTATTTTTTCACACATTAGATTCTGGAAAATTGTTTGTGTATATATCTATTTATTATGTACTATTACTCTAATTTGGCCATATAATTAGCTGTCCAGTTATAATTTCAACTATCAATATAATTTTTTGCCTCTGGTAATTTACGCCACATCTCAACTGAACTGAATAGTTCTTTATATTAATTTTGGGGTATATTGCTGGAAAAAAGGGTGCCAAGGGGTTAAGAATACAAGTATTAGCTCAAATCATGCTTCTTCTTTGATAAGCAAACACTCATTATTTTGATATCCTCAGCTATAAGGGCCGAAAAACAGATTTAATGTTTTGGATCGGTGCATAATTTCAAGTGATTCACGCACACTTTTTGTTGTTCTTCTTTCGTAGGTTATTCCATTAAATTGTTTTTAATCTTCATCATTAAATTGTTATAGAAATATTCATCTAAAGAATCGCATTTGTTAGTTGACAATTATGTACGTACACCTAGCCCTAGCTTAACACGGGGGTAACGTTCCGAGAAAACCTCGTGTTAAGCGAAATGGTTTTAAGCGAGACATGGACTCTTTACAAAATATGGGGTTGTGTGCTTCGGATCATTATCCTGCTGGAATACCCAAATTAGTGGCATTTCATCACTGGCATATGGCAGCATAATATTCTGCATTATATGCACATAAAGGTGGCGATCCATGGCATTCCGGATCCAATATATAAGCCCCGCGCCGTAATATGAAAAACTGGCCCAGATCATAATACGAGCTCCTCCGTATTTAACGGTTTTCGTTGTGAATCGATGGTGCATTCAGTGTTTGGTGGCCGCCTAACATACTGACGAGACCCAATTCCACCATAAGGCGTGATTTTCGATTCATCTGACCATAAAATGTTTCTCCATTACTGCACTGGCCAATCAATGTGGTCTTGTGCAAATTTAATTCGTTTTTTGTGAGAAGGGGCACTTTCCTTGGACTCCGAGCTGCCAAATTATTTTGCAGTAGGCATCTCCGTATTATTTGTGTACTAGTATGGAGATTTAATTCATCTCTTATATCGGTAGAGCTCGCAAATGGGTTCTGCCTAAAGTATAGCGCGAGGTCTTCCACGTGCTTCAGGGCCTGGGATAAATTTTATAGCATTACACACCGTTGTAGGAGAACAACCTACTATATTTTGGACTTCATTGTAAGTTTTTCCCTCAGATATCAATTTTTGAATGAGTGCACGTCGTTCAGGAGTGCAGTGCTTGGCTCTACCCATATCAGAAAAAAAAACAAACTAAAATGTGGATTGGAAACTAAACTATTAAAAAATAATTGAACTTACTATTAGCAACTTTTCGTGAGCTTAAGGAGCGACACACTTAATATTTTTGGAATGTTTGTGCAAGCACTACTATTATTTTGAGCGCGTAGAATAGGGATTAGCTGTGGAAAATGCAAATAACAACAACAACAAGTGCACAAAAAGCTAAATTAACGCGTCATTTTATTGTGCTCTTGTTGTAGATCACATGGTAGAAAGAAAGGATTAAAATTGAAAGGAAACACAAAAATACGAACGGTAGAACGTTGTGAAAAATATCACTACTATTATTTTGAGCACAACTGTAGATTTCGACAAATGCGCAACAAATTTTTTTCTTGTTAAAATTTCTGGTCTTTTAAGATCCAAATATTTTCAAAATTAACAATAAGCTATTCCAAATGTTGCATATCTTTCATTAACAGGTTAATCTTATTAAAAAGGAAAATATTTTTAAGCATAAAAAATGTTAAATCAGTTGGCAAGTGGCATTGGCATATATGTACATATTCTAATTATAAGCCGGTTTCGTGCTAAACATTAATTGGCTTTTAACCGATTTTTGTAGCACACCTTATAAGCTAAAAGTATTTTTTCCAACTCTCTTATTAACTGGAATGGTCTTTCACAGCTGCTAGCATATGCGAATCCTTTTTAAAGTTTTTCTATCGTATAAGAACGAGGTTTTCAGCGAGATGGAGGTCGTGTAAAGAGAGGACTAGGAGTAGTATACCTACATACATATGTAGCCAAGTGGCAGATACTCTAACAATTTCTATACCCTGAACCCCAAAAGGTATACTGGTTTATATTTGGAATGTATGTACATATTTATGTATGTAGTATGTATGTACGTATTTAACATACAACCTCCTAGTTCCAAAAAAGGACAAGTTTGTGATTTCTTTACTCGACACCCTCACATATACACTGGTCGGCACAATTATTTTGACGAACTGTACTCACGACTATCGGTGCTGGTTGCTTTTAGTTTCAAGGAATAACGGTACAATTTTCATACGGGATATTGAGTTCATAGCAACAACAATATGTAGGCAAAATATTTTGTCTATTACTCTTCACACCTTTTTTCTACAAATGACAATGTGAGTTGACTGCGGATTCAGGCACGGCATAAGTATTTTGACCAAACCTTGTCGCCGTTTTCGCGTACGTTTTATCAAGTGATACTAAAATAACTTTGGTGTAACAATTTTTGTTGACCTTTTTACATTATTTTCATTAAAATTTGATTCAAAAGTAATCGATACAATGGTAAAAAAGACAGAATTAAGTTATGTTGTTAGAGCCTCAATAGTGGCGAAGTTTAATGCCGGCGTAGCACCAAAAGACATTGCAAATGAATATAATTTGTCGCGGCAAACAGTCCACTATCAAATTAACAAATATAAGACCCACAATGACGTCAAAAACTTGCCTAGATCAGGTGCTAACCGCAAAACAACACCCATTGAAGATCGAGTCCTATTGCGGGAATTTAAAAAAAATATTCATTTAAAGCCGCAAGCTGCTGCAGATCAATGGAATAAGTCGACCAAGACTCCAATCAGTGAGCGTACTGTTCGGCGACGCCTAAAAGAAGAAGATTTTAAGACATACAAAGCGAAGGACATACCTTACATATCAAAGGTGAACAAGCTCAAAAGATTGGCTTTTGCAAAGGAGCATCTGCATAAGCCAAAAGAGTTTTGGAGAAGCGTTCTATGGACAGATGAAAGCTCCTTTGAATATAATTCATCAAAAACAAAGATTTTTGTAAGGCTCCCACAGTTTCAAAGACAAAAAAATATCCCCGTATGTCAAAAAGTGAGCCATGGCGGAGGCTCAGTCATGTTCTGGGGATGCATTGCGTACAATGGGTTAGGTGATTTCGTTCCCATAACCGGCTCAATGAACCAGCAACAATATTTGAGTACCCTTAACGAAAACGCATTCCCTTCCGGTGACAGGCTGATTGGAGAATCATTTATCCTGCAACAGGATAACGCCCCATGCCACAAAAGCAAAATGATAAGAGCATTTTTAAGCGATGTTGGTGTTACTACTCTGGATTGGCCACCACAAAGTCCGGACTTAAACGTTATTGAGAATGTGTGGTCTCTTGTAAAACGTAAAAGAAATGCGTCTTTGCATAAAACCGAAGAAGAAACTATTTCCGAGGTCACTTCTCTTTGGAAAGAGATACCATTAGAGGTCCTTCAAAATTTAGTGGACTCAGTTCCAAGACGTCTTCAAAAAGTTATCGAAGCCAAAGGCGGGTATACATTTTATTAATCTACCATCAATTTCTTATGTTTTGTTTAGTATTAAGCTTTGTTTTTTTTGTTAATATCCATTGTCAAAATACTTATGCCAACCCATGAAAATTACCTTGATTTATAATTTTAAAAGTTCTTATAAAAATATATCCTTTGAATTATTTTTAAGTTTGTAATACCAATATGGAATTGAGAAAAAAAGTTTCCTTTGATATCTTAAACCAATAACCAGTTATTGACAAAAATGTATGATTTTCTTCTCGTCAAAATAATTGTGCCGACCAGTGTATGTTCACATGAAAACTACATAATTGATTTATTAATTTGAAAAAAAAGTTAATTAGAAAATCATTGATATATTTTGTTTTTGTTGGAGTATTTAAAAGTTGTACCTGCCCGACTCTAGCTTTCCATTCTCGTCTGTTTTGATAAATTAATGGATCAGCTGCGGAAACTTTAAACAGATTCACCACTCCTGAGTGCCAAATTGTATCTTACATATTGTAGATTTGGTAGAAAAATAACTAACAAATACTTATTAATAATAAATATTGTTTTTAAGAATAGACTAGTCTGACCTTTTCGTATGGACGCATCTTGAAATCACATGCGCGTGTCTGGATTTTCGTTCATTTCGCACATAAACCCACACATTCTCTCACTTACATCCACCTCAATGATAACTTGATTTCGTCACATGGCCCGTTATCTTATCGCACTCGGCCCAGCTTATCATTATCGCAACATGTCATTCGCGGCGAAATATGTACGACGCGACGATGCCACTCACACCTGCCGCTGCCGCTGCCTCTGCCACCCAGAAACGAGCTCCCAAGCGGTCGCTGATAGGACAGTCGTGTCGCACCCTGAGTAGCGCAACATGAAATATCAACAGTTAGTTAGCTAACGGTTTTAATGTGGAACGAAGAGTCGCATTTGTCTGAAAGTTGGCATTTAATAACGGATAAAAACGAGCGTGGCCGCGATTGCTGCTAGCAATTATACCGATTCGCCGGTACAAGTGATGTGAGGCTGTGGAATAAATATACATACTCGACATACATACATACATATGTGCATACTCGTATAATGTAAAAATGGACGACACGACAAATAGCATCATTGTGTATTTATCGGCCATGTTCTTCGTCTTTTTCTCGTGCGTCATTTTGTGTTGTTTTCTGCGTCTCTGCGTTTGGGCATACATTGAGATTTGTGGAAAACAAAGAACGGAGCCGAGTAGCCGTCGCTTGGGTCGCCGAGATGCTCGGTGTGTGCGACAGGAAAGGGGTAGGTTTACGACTCCAGAGTAACAGTCGAGTCAGCACACAAATTGCGAAACTCCATGTCAAATATTGGTCGAAATGTAAACGATCGCAGATGTTTTGTCTAATCGCAAGCTGCGTAGTTTTTGATCGGTTTATAACTGACATACATACATACATACATACATACATACATATTATATATGGTACACGTACTTTGGCTTTTTTGTCTTCGATAAGGAGGTGCTTGACTCTGGTGGTTTACACCTAGGCAAGTGGCTCCTAAAGTCATTTTATCGGCTATTCGTTTATTTTCGTATATTTTTATTAGGCGGCAATCAGCTGAACTCATAAGACATAAGAGCTCGTCTATAACTAAAAGAGTTTGTTGATAAGATTGGTCGGTTTTCTAATTGGAATTCAGTATTTTATGCGCCTTCACGGGGCGTATAATATGTTTGCTTCCGTATTTCATTAAGTACCTGTGGATTTCTTGAGCAGTTCAGTTAAATATGAATCTATTTGTTGTATATATAGCCTGTATTGCCATTATATTTTTGGTTTTACCCATTATTTACATGGCGTTGCAGGTAAAGATTGGATCCGTAGAGTTTGACATCAACTTTTCATTTAAATAATCTTCTTTAAGTTCTCACTGTGGTTTATATTGACAAAATGTTGCGGTCGTCCACCACAGCGGAGTAATAGGCGTGCACAAGATATTCAGTTGCGTCCATATACCCGTCAACATTTTGGTAACCGTACGTATACATCATTCCTTTGCAGACATAAGTATATGTATTTTTTGTATGGTTGGCTTCTATGTAATTATGTATACATATAAAATAGAGTAAGAGTATTCCAGGTTCGGTCGGATATATTAATTTCGCGTATAGAACCTGTGTCTAGTTCTGGTCTACTTCGATTGGTTTCAACGTAGAACTGCACATGCCAGTGTATATAATATCCATAGGATCCGTAGTTATTTTAGTTAGAGTGTTAAGTGGTTGGTTGTTTTAATATGTGCACATTTTACATTTTTTAAATGAAAATATATATTGAAATATTATGAAACTGGCGCTACATTTTTTCTTATAGTGTAATAATCTTGTGACTACCTTCGACATTGCCGAGCGATGAATTATAATCTTATCACATATCAATAACAATATGAGAATCGAAATACATGAAAAACTGAGAACTTTAAAAAGTCCAACTACACTAAAATCTGCGACTAAAGCGCCCCGTGTCGCTCATCATCTGATACGAAAGTTTGATTAGTATTAAATGTTCGTTGGCTGAACGAAGATGTGCTCCCGTAGTTATAGCCCGCGCTATGAGTTGGATTAAGGAATTTGGCATTAATTTGGCCATCTTTCTAGCTATTTCAATATTCTTTTTCTGCATATTGCCAGTCGTTTGCTTTTATGTGCGTATCGAAAGTCGGACATTGGCCAAAATTTTTCCAGCTCGAGTAAGGCGCCGGCGGCAATCACAAGTGTGTGGGCAGAGCAGCACCCGCCATCCGAGTGGTAACGTGTGCATATCATGAAGTAAACAACGCTTGGCGTATCTTATCGAAAGATTACGATTCTGATACATGAATTATATTAAAGAATTATTTGGTTTTATTAGTGCTGTGCGTAGTTTTGTATATTGGATGTAGATTTTTCAGTTCCAAGCTAAGTCGCAAAATGAGTTTGTCAGGAAATTTGGCAATAACTGTGGGCTTTGTGTTTGCTGTTTTTATAATAAGTTCATGTATATATGTATGGGTATTAATCATATACTATAGTTATTGAGATTTATAACAATTGTATTTATCAATAGCTGGCAATGCGCATGCACCATTCGTCGATGCTGCGTCGCCAGAGCCAACGTCGACGGTTGCGCGGTAACTGATTGGCCAAATGTGTTTGCAAATTAAGCTAAAAGTTTGTCTTTATTTATTTGCAGATCGCCAAGGCAATGTATATACGGGTTCTGATGACCGAGCAAACAATCGGTATGGAGATATATACTTTATTGAACCGAACAGCGAAGAAGCGGCACGCATACGCGAGCAGCTAGAAAAGGATGATAAGGAACTCCCCAGCTATGATGAAGTCATGCGCATGTGTAATCTGACCTCGCCAACACCAGCGCCAGCTGCAGTAGTAGCACCTGCACTACCCAGTAGCACCGATGGTGTGGCCATTAGCGTTGCTGCCTTACCAGCGCCGCCCTATGTCGAAGTTGATCCGAATGCGCAGCCTCCATCAATAACGCCCAGCTCTGTTCCGCCCCAATGCACGGTAGTTTCGCTGGAGCCGTCAACCTCGCGCGCTGCACAGACGACCACTTCATCATCAGTGATAATGACCTTGTCACAGACGGCCTCTAACACGGAAGTTTGAGGGCTGACTGGAGAAAGTACCCCCGTTTGAGGAGGTGGAAGTTGTCTTGTGCCACTCAGGGACGCACAAATTGGCGTTTGTGCGGGCCACAAAACGAAGAAGAGGAAAGATGAAAAATATGTGATTTTAGCATATCGATTTAGCTAGAAATTAATATTTTCGATAATTGTACATATTTATAATTTAGGCTGCAATAAAATAGTATACATACATATGTAAGTGGAAAAAAGCATTTAAATTTTAATACGATGACCTTAGATGAGTCACTATTTTGTATTCGTGCTACCTCTTGATCGTTTTTAAACCCCAGATTAAAATACGTGCAATAAGGCTGGTTAAATTTAATGATCTTAATAATAAAAATTGTAGAGTGTACATTTTCTCATAGGCCGTAAATATTTAAAATTAAATAAATATCGCGACTATCGATATTTCGCCGATTAAAGTGGCCAACGCTGCCACTTGTCTATGGAGTTGCCATTCTATTGTTTTTCACAACGCCGTCTGTGTTTGTTTATTTGCTATTATTTTTACAATCTACGCCTCTAAGTAAGCATGAGCACAATAAAGGTAATCACAATAATGATGAATTGTTTAGTAGAGTGTGAACTAATTTCAAACGTAGATTGAATTTGCAGTTCAAATGCGCAACGAAAAATGCGCTAATGAGATAAAACGTGTCTTAACGAGCAGATTGGGTGAGGAGGGTCAAATAGAAATAGACACCAAACAGGGCCGGGTGATAGTAGAGACTAACACGCCTTGGTCAGTGATACAGGACACGATTGAGAGCACCGGCCGAAAGGCAGTGCTATCTGGCTTCGGTGGACAATCGGCAGTTGCACTCATAAATACCACCGGTAGCGTTGTGGACCGAACTCCCGTACAGGGTGTTGTACGTTTTACGTCTATAACAGCGCAGGATGGAGGCGGTTTAGTAGTTGATGGAGTGGTGGATGGTCTGAAACCGGGACTTCATGGTTTACATATACACGAAAGTGGAGATGTATCGCAGGGCTGCGCATCAATCGGCGGACACTACAATCCTAGACAATCTCCCCATGGCAGTCCACAGGCCACGCAGCGGCATGCAGGAGATTTGGGAAACATTCGTGCGGATCCGGATGGTCGTGCAACATTCCGTTTTATAGATCCATTGCTGGAGGTGTGGGATATTATTGGTCGAGCAGTTGCGATCACGGCTGAAGCTGACGATTTGGGAAGTGGTAACAACTCGCAAAGTCTAATCGATGGGAACTCGGGAGAAAGGTGCGTTAGAGTAATAGTCACGGCTGTATCTAACTTCAGACTTGTATTTACAGAATTGCCTGTGGCATAATAGCGCGTTCTGCTGGTATACTGCAGAACTTCAAACGGATCTGTGCATGTGACGGCGTTACGCTTTGGGATGAAAGAAATAAACCTTTGGCAGGAAAGGAACGTTCACAAAAGCTTTGAATCATCCTTATTTAATTTGTAAATATGTATAGGTATAAATTTGTTATTTTTGCTTTTGTTTAATCTACCATTTCGATGGATGCTTTACGTTTTAAGCACCCCTTCAACTGGATCAAGTGAGCCTTGCACTTACTTCTATACGCTTGCACTAATTTTCCACAAAGTGGTGGTGGTGAGATGGCCATTGCTGCATGTATCTGTAAGATTAAAATTTATTTTCATTTTCTTATAATAAATTTGTGGATTACTACTTCAAGATACTGCTGCTCCTTTTCGTACGTTATGCATTCTTGTAACAAATTTAAGACGTTTTGGAACCGTTCTACATCCATCATGTAGTTCATCTCACAGATGTTTTCTTTGTACCAACTAGCGTAGGCATCTAAATTATGTTTTACACTCATCGTTCTAGCAGTAGCAGCGCGAGCAGTTAATAAGAGATGTAACATGGACAGCTTACACGGCGCTCCTCCGATTTTCAGTAATCGAGACTTGAGATATTCTATAGATAAACAAAATTATGTATGTCATATGTGCATACTTGTATAAGGCTATAATCATACGTTTCAGAAACATCGTTGTATCAGCGTTACTCGTGCTCGCTATTGATTGAATCAATATTACGTAAAACTTCCACTCCTTAAAATGTTCCAAGGTAGACAATTTAAATAAATAGTTAAGCACATCTTCCTGACTATTCAAGAAGAGCTATAAATATCTTATATATTAAGCAGCTGAAAGAGGTTTCATAAAGTGTACTACCTTTTCACACAACACCTTAATAAATACGAGTTCATCAACCCCTTTGTTAATCCAGTCGCTAAAATGGATAAATGCTTGGTTTATATCACTGGCGTGTAGATTCAATAGAATGTGTATGTGCGTATGCATAACTTTCGTTAACACATTGGCTGTAATCATAATTGATTTACTATCAAATATGCATTCCTAATTTACTTCATAAGTGGTACATTACCTGGTAGTGACTTGCATAACGGAGCTAAGTAAGCCAAACTACTTATTTTTGGATTGGATGCCAGATCGTTAAAGAGATGATAAAACAAGTCTTCCAATGCGGCATTAAGTATAATGGCATTAAACGAGTCTATGTAAAAATATATTTTAAACCCATTTTAAAACTGGTTTCAAAAGACTTACCATATGCCGCCGATATAAAAATGTTTTCCAGGAGCTCGTACTCAGCTTCGAGAAACTCATTAAGAACAAGTTGCACCTGCACATTATTCTGAATGCTGAATGAAACCATTTAAAATTGAAGTGTTAAACCATGCTCAGTTCTCGACCAAATGTACCTTAGGATGTATTCCGTGGCGGTTAACAGTCTCAAGTCTTGAAATTGGCGAAGGACCCGTAGCGTTCCAATCTTCCAAGGCAGCTGGCAAAAGTATTTCGATGCTAGAAGCTAACCAAAAAATCCAGGGGCAGCTTAATAGGATAATCATTGAAATATGCAATTAAAGCATAAGCACCTTTTCCTTAGGAGTCAATGATTTGAGTAACTCCTGGAAATCTTTGCAATTTTCTCCGTATTGGATGTCGCATTGATTTTCTATTGCCTTCAATTATATTTATTAGTTAGAATATTGCATACTTTATTGTTTGCAGGTGTAGGCAAATCTCAAATCATCAATATAATTACTTTGCAAATGAAGATAAAACTTCTGCTGCCAACAAAATCCATTATTCGGTTGGCGATGACAATGCCCGCCAAAACTATTTACAATGATATTGCTTAAGCACACATAATGAACACATACATATAAATCATCTAAGCAGGGTTGCCATTTGCTATGGAATCAGTAAGTCTATGTTGTAATATATTATATATATAATATAAAATCAAGGCATATAACAATAATGGCATTCCTGTTCAAGATTTGATTTTGTTTATCAACCTAAAAAAAAATCATTTTTAAAATGAGCGCATTAGCTGATTTGATTTAACAATTTGAGAGCCCGTGTTTTGTACAACTGGTCACATTGCTGGTTTTGTATGGACTCAAACCATGCAACATGTTGTATGGTTAGTGGTATGGATCAGCTGATGGACAAAATCTAGTCTGAAACAAATCAGGAATACTTAGAGCTGCCACATGGCGAGTAGACATTTTTTTATGCATCGGGTAGCATTAACGCTTTCAAAAATCTAAATCTATATTGCCCAAAAGCAACTCCTGAGCAAATTGTGAAATGCGAAATGTTTTTAAAAGGAGCACTGAAGAAAGTGGTCATAAACAGAATGTGAGCTTTGCGCACTGACTTTCGTGAGTAAGTGACCAGCACTTACTCATGAACAGAATGTGAGCACTGAGCAGTAAACAAAAGTTTGTACGTCCATTATCTCACAGTATAATACAAATATTAGTACTATGCCGACGTACATCTTAAAAAACGGCAAGATGTTGTCAGTGATGGGAAAAATAATAGAAACGACAATATGTTCTTCGTTTATTCGAATTTTCTTCCATTAACATTTTTAAAGGGTATACTAGTTTTATGCGAATGTATGTAACACACACAAAGTATATATTTATGTATATTATTGATCAGGATGACAAGACAAGTCGATATAGCCATGTCCGTCTGTCAGTCCTTCTGCCCGTCTGTATGAACACAAGGATCTCAGTAAGTCTACGAGCTAGAATAACCAAATTTGGTATCTAGATTCTCCTAAGTCCGAGAAAGGACGAGCTTGTGTTATTTTTTTTATATACCCCCACCCCCCCCCCCCCCCCCCCCCCACACACACACTACACTGCAATTCGTGTTTTTTCCATTACTCCCGTAATTTTAGGAATTTCAAACTAAAATTTGGTAACTACATCCCGTTAGTAATTATGTGTCTATATGCCAAGTTTCATAATAGGTGAATTATGAAGAATGTTATAGCCTCCAATATAAATCTGCCGAAGCTCTTCCCGCAGCTGTTGTTGCTGCTTTGGTTCAACTTTGTACTGCACACATACACGCATATAAACACGCAGAGGCACGATTCTGATGTAAATTTATTCTATTGAAATTGTACATTAACACTTATGTATGTGTTGAATATTTTATATTTAATTTAATTAATTAATTATATTAAATACATTTTTTTAAGCAATTTTTTCAACACTAGAAATACCACGGCGGTCAATTTGACGGTTCGGCGATTTAATTCTTAAATATTTGACGAACAATGTTTTTGGTTCTTTTCATATTTTATGACTTTTCCTAATTTGATAATGTTATCCTAAATCTACAAGTATATAAAAGACTATTAAATTATGTGTAGTAAATAAGATTCCATTACAAATACCTACTAATCAAATTGACCGCATATGAGAGCAGTGATAAGTACTAAACAAAGTTGTTTGCAAACTAATGCGGGGGCTCCTGTTTTTATTTATTTAGAGTTCTAAGGAAGGTGTTGTTGTGAAAAATCGTGATTTGCTATAAAAATGTCGTCTCAAAACTTCTGAAATAGAACAAGAACTGTCGCGGGACGTACAACAAGATGTGTCAAGTGATGAAATTGGTGATAATTTATCAGACAATCTATTTGAAACCCGTGATGCAGAATTTCAACCGGAACAGGTCACTTCATCATCTGAAGACTCCGAAGTAGATTCCCCTGCTACAAATAACAATAATGTAAACTCGCACAGAGGACGCGGGGTATCTTGTAGATCAATTAGCGGTGGGCGAACAGCGCGCGGTGAACGTTAAGCTAGGACATATAGGATTTTACCACTAACAACTTTTTCACGTCTCTAAATTTGGCTAAAAACCTAATGGTCGAAAAGACTAGCAAGACGAGAAGTACCGCCGATTTGTACAAGTATATCTATTCGTTCTACTTGATATGAAACGTTTATAATGAAAACAGAGATCGTCTATCCATTAAAATCAGGAAAAATGTTATTATTTTGAGTACTCTGCACTCAAACATGAGCATAGGTAATGGAGAAAGAGCTGGAACTCGAAGATTGCACATTCGGGTTTTTACAATATATTTGATTTTGTTTCTGCTCCGAAAGGTAACAGGAATAAATTATCCTTCAACTTGGATGCGATCTACGTGTAAGTGTAGAGTAAGCGAAAAAAGCTAAGCATTAAAATAGGTTTGAAATAAGTGAACAGTGTACTAACCAACAATGAGAGATGGCAATGTCAAATAAATAATAACTAATAAAGTAGTTTATTTTGAATAAAAAAAAAAATTGGTACTGTTTTTTACATAAATTTAAAGCAAAATAATATTCATTTCAACCAAAATTGTTTAATTTAATACAAAATAAATTGGTACTGTTTTTTATATCAATTTAAAGCAAAATACGCAATAATTTAATGAGTATTCTGACTAAATCCCTTATACCGTCAAATTGACCGCTATGGTCTTTGAAGGCATGGCCGTAGCGAGGGGGGTGCAAAGCGGGCAGCTGCCCGCAATATATATTAATGCGACTAGTTTTAGAATGTTGTGCATTATTATCTCTTAAAAATAGTTTTGGTTTAACAGTTCAGAAAATGCAGTTTCAGTTCTGAACTGTCGAAACTAAATAATTTAAGATTTCTTTATCTGCCATAACTTTCTTTTGATAACTGTCCCGGATACTATAAATTGATTTACAAACTGAGAGCAGCACTCTTTAAAAAAATTACATATTTTTCTCTTCGTTTGCACGCCTCTTTATTTTTTCGCCGCCGGTATTATTTATCTAGATTTCAATAATTTTAAAGTATGTACACGTATGTATATAAAAATTTATCATTTGTGTAAGAAAACATAATTTCAAATTGTTAAATTTTACACTCTCGATGTCGTACGGGATCATCTTTATATTAGTTCCACGATCACAAATCTTATTTTTTTGCAAGTTTTTTATACCCTGTACCCAAAGGGTACAAGGGTATATTAGCGAGTGTACATGTAACACACAGAAGGAGGCGTGGCAGACCCCACAAAGTATATATATTCTCGATCAGCATGACAAGCCGAGTCGATATAGCCATGTCCGTCTGCCCGTCTGTCTGTCTGTCTGTATGAACGCAAGGATCTCAGAAAGTATAAGAGCTAAATAAATTTAATTAAATTAATTAAATAATTAAATTAAATTAATTTATTTTTTTGTGGGGTGGTACAGGGTATTTAAGAGTTGAGCCTGCTCGACTTTAGCATTCCTTTCTTGTTTACATTTTATTGCATTGGAAATTTCAAATTTGCATTACCTTGAATTTCATTTTTCCATATTTTTCATGTATTTTTTGTATAGTGCAAATAATTTGATAACAAAAAAATTAGCCAAAAATTTAGATAGCTTAAACTGAAAAACATTCATTTTTTAATTGTACATTTCGTCTAAAATGTATACACAACAAACATACCATCGTGCGTATTACCTAAATGACACATAACTATACATACAAGTATGTATATACATTTGAAGATAGTAAAAAAAGCGACTTCTTTGCTTATTTTAACATCTGTTCACTGAGATAGTTCTGCAAGTATATGTACGTAGATAAAGTCGAGCAGCTGTGCACTGGGATCCTTATTGGACAACATTTATTTAATTGGGAGTTCACCTTATATTAATTCACTCGAAATTAAAAATATAGCACCGTAAGATCAAAGTTTTTGATAAATGTAAAATTACATATTGACTATGTATATTATTAGCGGCTAACACTCTATTATTACTATTTGTTTGATATGTATGTATGTACGTGCATGTGTAATTATAATGTGAAATCAATTAAAGGGGAATATAATTAATAGCACTGTCAAAATTAATTGTCATTTTACATGAAAAATCTACCAGCTTCTAAATATAAAAGCTCGACTCTTATGTCAAAAAGTAGATCATAAACGTAACTAAAGTCCAACCAATAGAGAATGTTGCATAATTTCAGCTTTTTGTTTTTAGTGTGTAACATTTCAAGCTTTGTTGCTGTAAATATAAAGTATATTACTTAGTCATATTTGAGACGAACTTTTAAGCTTTCTCTTTTAGTGCAGAAGCTTCTATGTTGTGAGCCAGGAGTCTTTTCAATCCTTTGGAGGCGAGGCCCAAACCTTGATTGATTTCAGTCGAATTAGGACAATTGGACGGAATCGTGCATTTAATGGATCCTTTATATTACATGTGGACTTCGACAACGAACAATTTAGCCTTTCTGTTGAAATATTTCAAAAGAAGCCTGGTCAATGGCAAAAAATTATCTATGAGGTTTCGCAAGCTAAAATATGTGATGCCTACCAGACATTTTTTGTGAAATATATAGAGCCCTCATTGGAACAAACCAATTTTCCAAAAGTTTTTAAACACACTTGCCCAATACCAAAAGGAAAATATTGGATAAAAAATTTTATACTCAAGTCAGACGTGTGGATGCCAGGAATACCGCCGGATTCTTACAAGGTAGTTTATACCATATTTAAACAAGGAACGAATGTTGGCGGCTTTGCCGCTGTGTTTATTGTTAAGAACCAGGAACTGTAATTAGTGCTAGTATAATTTTAATATAAGTTTCTCCCTATCTATGTATGTATTTTCAGTTATACAAAGTTATATACACATAAAATTAGCTAATACCCAGCAAACCCTTAGACCATCTATGTTTCATTTTTATGTACGAGTATGGCAATAAAATGTTATATTTGGTGTCTTTATGTATAATACGATTCTATGACAGCTGTATGATATAGTAGTCTGAACGGTCCGTAATGATAGTTAATGCGAGTACAGTCTGGTTTCAGAGTTTCAGTGTTCTTTATATTATGAAGCTGCGCAACCCAACTGTGAATTATCCATAGAAAATAATGATTATGCGATTCGGGGCTGCAAGGCAAATAAACACGTGTCCCCTATTGACTTAATAATTTAAATTTTATTGCTGTGTTGGCTGCTTATTTATTAATAATAAATGTTATGTATCAAGATGAGAATATATGTATGTTGGATTGGAAAAAGTTTGAAAAGGACGATAAATGAGAACTTGTTACCTTTATTACGCCATTTCTGCTAATACGCTTTTTAAGAGTGCGGAAAATAGTTTTTTTTAAAAGAAGATTTTTATGAAGAGAACTGTACAGCGAAATTTTAGAGTTCTATATGGACACTTAAAAAAATTGTAAAGGTACATTATACGTATTTATAAGGTGCAGAATCACGACGTACGAGTAAATACATGTACTGAAACGAAAAAACCAATAAACCTTTAGCTCACATGTAGTTTATTTGGGTAGTGGAAGGGTAGCGGTAACTCAAGTAATAGCCTAGGGACAACATTTCTAAAAGAAGACTGTGTTTGGTCCTTTACTTGCTACTTTAGTAACGACTTGCGACGAATTGTTGGCTGGTGCTTTACCATTCTGACAGACTATATATTTAAACTGCAAATGAATAAATAGGGAACATATCATTATGCTTACATAACCGATATATTGGGAAGGCGGAGATATATTAATTGAGAACACGGCTTGCGCTGAACTCTTCCCTGTGATATAAAATAATGTGCTGTCTGCATGCAACAGAATTACCGCATATATAAATATACCCCAATTAATATTCGAACAATTGAAAATATACTTTTACATTGCACAGAAGTGATAATGAATAACCTGGTTAAGCTTGTTATTTTGGTCGGAATATCAACGGTCGCAACAGTAAATGTCTCAGTACTTTATATTGGACTATTTTAAGTTAAGGTCTATCATAACATTATAGGCCCTCAAGCAGAGCTATCAAGTCACAAATGTTGATGTGCAGGAGGTACTTGGTGAAGCAGAGTCTAAAGTACTAAGCAGCTTTAAGTTGATTGGACGACAACGTGGCATTAACGGAACACTCACCTTTCTGGAAGATCTTGATAATGAAAATTATTTGATCAAGATGGAGTTATATTGCAGCCCAACTGGAAACGGTATTTATAAACAGATGGCCATGCAAATATCGCCAGATGGTATTTGTATGAACTACAAAGAGTACTATCCTCAATTTTTTAATGGAACCCTTATAACGGGCGTCAACACTAACTTCGAATTTAATGATGGTGATGTTTGTCCTATACCGAAGGGAACTTATTGGTTTAAGAATATTATTTGGAACACAGAAAAGTGGGTCACAATATTACCACGTGGACTTATCAAAGCCGTTATTGTAGTGCTAAAAAATGGAACAAATATAGGCGGGGTTCTAATTGTTGTTAAAATTGAAAATACTATTTTCTAATACCACGGTTGTTGTATCAAAAGGACATACACGTATATTTTGTAGTTCTAAAATAGAAATTGTGAAATTAATGATAACTTTGTCCTTTTATATTCCTTGGTTATATCTGTATACTATATTGACGTAAATAAATATTTGTTTCATCATGTTTTGAAGGTCACACCACTTTAACGCTGAGAAACATAACTTTTGAGCTCGTTTTGTTTGTAAATGAACGATTAATGTATTTATGTATTGTTTACAAGCCGATGTGTGCATTTCTTATGGTCAGAAGATGTATGATTTGTCAATGTTATTTGGTCAAATTATATGAATTCAGAGGACGCTAAATAACCCTGTAAAACAATTGTTTTCTGTTTTCCTCATTTAATATAACTGTACATTTTTTGGTATGCATTTTTTTATTGTTTAGGTTTCACGTTAGTTCCTTTATTTTTAAAAGGTTCCAGCAGTGCAAAATTAATAAGAAATGTATAACTTTTTGAATGCTACAAGTAGTGTAAATATGTGACTAATTATAATAAGGTGATAACCCATGGTCAGCTTAGTCAGCTATTTACTATTTACTTTCCCAACCTAAGTCACAAACATGAAACATTTACATGCTTATTGAAATAGGTTCGTTGAACCGTTTGGAAATCAGGAAATGATTTGAAAAAGTGATAATTTTATTTTGCATTTCTCTACAAATTGTAATGCTGATAAGCCATCAATATAAATAGGGCAGGTATCTGTGAACCAGATCATTCAATCAAACACCTTCAAAGTACTTTTACAAACATGAAGTGGCTTGAAACGATCGTGGGGATCCTACTCCTGGGCTGGCTACCAGCACATGTCCTCGCCGAATGCTGCCACAGCACCACGCTTGTATTTACGAAGACCAGCTCGGAGGACAGTTGTAAAAGCCTTGGAGGGCACACGCCATGGTCTGGCTCTACGTCCGTCGGAGAAACCCTTTCAAAACAAATGGGAAACATTATAAACAACGCATGTGAGGCCAAGGTATGTGGCAATGGCCAACCTGTCGTAGGAACCTATTGCGGCTACGGATCCTGCAATGCATTCGGCTGTAACTGCGATTTTGGTTGCATTGCCGGCGACGCTGCTGCTAACTTCAAGTCCATACATGGCGAGAAAGTAGAAAAAGTTCGTCCTAAGACTATTTTCAACAGCATCGCAAGCGGCTAATGGGGTTGTTTATACGAGTATGTAAACAAAATTAAGAGTCATATGTACATTTTGTTGACCCTAATAAAAGTCGTCAATACAAGATAAATTTGGACTGTGTGAACAATCTACGTTGATTGAAATTTTTGTTCATTTTATTCATTATGCACTAAAGTAATTTCAGGTTCAAAATTAGCTATCCGAATCAGCATTAAATTTTAATGGCCATTAAATGCAAAAACCAAGACTAAAATAAAAGCTCTCATGACCGAGGGATGAGGATGGGCCGTGCTGCAGATCAGGGCATTCAATGTGGATTCAACGGCATGCTAGAATAAGAGATGGCATGGGATAATTGTCGAGCAATAGCAAAAGCTCAATACTAAAATTGGAAAGTATGTACATACATACTATATGTATTACATTATAACAATTAAACTCCGGCTGACACGCACACGAAGGAGATAAGAACAAGAAAGGAATGCTAGACTCGAGCGGGCTCAACTCTTAAATACCCTGTACCCACCCCCCCCCCCCCAAAAAAAAAAGAATTAAATTAATTATTTATCTAAATTAAATATTAAATATTAAACATATGCATGGATAGAGACACCAAAATTTTGTACAAATATGTTTTATATGTGTATAGTACACTGTGCAAGTTAGTATTATTTTTATTTTCCCCCCACTCCTTCGTTTTCGCGCAACGCCGTTCGTATAATCACCTACCTTTATCTCAGAGACTATAAGACCTAGGGACACCAAAATATATTCCAATATGCATTATTTGAGTACCCTCCTAATATTCGCCTCTCCTGCAATTCTCGGAATTTCGAATACAAATTTGGTAACTACATCCAGTTAGTGATTAAGTGTGTGTGTGTCAAATTTCATAATGATAGTCGATTTACAAGATTATAGCCATAAATGTAATCTTTGTAGTTGTTGTTGCTGCTTCGGGGCAACTGTGTACTGCAGGCATGCTCATACATACACATAGACACGCCTGTGGCCGATTATACATACACGTATAGAATCACACAGACACAATTCCTATGATTCCTCTTAGCATTATTTGAATAAACTCGTTTACCATTCTTCAGATTCTATGCCAAATGTACAAGAGTGATTGTGATATCCTCACAAAAACCGAACATACGTATTTAAAAGGAACTTAGCGTTTGAAGCACACGATCGAAAATAAAATTTCAGAGAATTACGAACAAAATCAAACACACAGTCCAAATTTACCTTGTATTGACAACTTTTATTAGGGTCAACAAAATGTACATATGACTCTTAATTTTGTTTACATACTCGTATAAACAACCCTATTAGCCGCTTGCGATGTTGTTGAAAATAGTCTTAGGACGAACTTTTTCTACTTTCTCGCCAAGTATGGACTTGAAGTTAGCAGCAGCGTCGCCGGCAATGCAACCAAAATCGCAGTTACAGCCGAATGCATTGCAGGATCCGTAGCCGCAATAGGTTCCTACGACAGGTTGGCCATTGCCACATACCTTGGCCTCACATGCGTTGTTTATAATGTTTCCCATTTGTTTTGAAAGGGTTTCTCCGACGGACGTAGAGCCAGACCATGGCATGTGCCCTCCAAGGCTTTTACAACTGTCCTCCGAGCTGGTCTTCGTAAATACAAGCGTGGTGCTGTGGCAGCATTCGGCGAGGACATGTGCTGGTAGCCAGCCCAGGAGTAGGATCCCCACGATCGTTTCAAGCCACTTCATGTTTGTAAAAGTACTTTGAAGGTGTTTGATTGAATGATCTGGTTCACAGATACCTGCCCTATTTATATTGATGGCTTATCAGCATTACAACTTATAGAGAAATGCAAAATGATCACTTATTTAAATCACATTTCACATTTCCTGATTTCCAAACGGTTCAACGAACCTATTTCAATAAACATTTAAATGTTAAAAGTTTGTGACTTAGGTTGGGAACGTAAATAGTAAATAGCTGACATAGCTGATTGGTTATCACCATATTTTAATTAGTCACACATTTAGACTAACGTTTCTTATCAACGTTGAACTTCTGGCCACTATTGGGGTGAATATTAACAGTCACCATTACACCGAACCTGGTATATAGAGATTCCTAAGTCCAAGAAAGTAAAATGAGTGTTTTTTTAGCATAGGGAAGATATTGGAAATTGGATTGGTAAAGAGCTATAAAAAATACAAGAAAGGAATGGTAGAGTCGAGCGGGCTCAAGTCTTAAATACCCTGTACCAGCTCCAACAAGTAGTAAATTTAAAAAAAAATATTTTTAAAACTAATTTTTATAAAAAAAATAAATTTAATTAAATACAAACTATATAATAACATACATTAATGAATGGAGACATATGTTTATCTACAGTTTCAACAGCATAATTTACATCAGAGTCGTGTCGTAGAGCTAGAATAACCCAACTTGATATCCAGATCTTCCGAGGCCCACGAAAAGAAATGTTTGTGGATTTTGTTCATGAGAGTTTTACTTTCTTAATAGAATATAGTAATTGTATTCTATAAGCAATTATAGTGATGACGACAAAGGGTATAGTTATATATAAAACAGATCATTCAATCAAAAATCTTCCAAGCACTTGTACAAACAAGACCATCCCTGGACATGCGTTTGAGGGAAAAATGTTCTTTCCAAGTATGTGGGAAACATTGAATTGGATAACATTTAAAATAATGCATCTAAAATGTATAAAAATAAATAGTGTTTATCTGATAGGTATAATTATTTATTAAAAAATATAGCCTGGAATGAAGATCGTGATTTTGTTACATAATGGCAGTCAAATGGTACACCTATTCTTAAAAACTTTGATCAAATTACCCTTGGAATACATTTCTCATAAACACTTGCCAGTTATTCACAGAATAATCAGAACACATACACAGAAACTCATCAAGCTAAAATTTACACTAAAAACAAAAGTGTTAAGAATTAAGAAAGGAACACACGCGGCCTTTAGATATTTATTCAAGGATAACAAATATCCGCAAAATTCCTAAGTTCACATTTTCGATTCGAGTTAATTAGTTGTGTGTAATTGAGAAAACAACAGGACGAATCATGAAGATAATACAAGCTATTCTCCTGTTGATGACATCGATGTTCTGTGCTCATGGAAAAGATTGTAGATATTAAATATTTAAGATAATTTTTAAGCCGTACAGGACAATGATGATTACTATTACCTGTTACAGACAATATATTTTGCTATTGGAACACCACCGCATTCTATCGCAAGAATGTCGCCAGTTTTCAGGCTTGGCACATAGACGTACGTCTTTGCACGCATTTGGGTTATAGCCACTTTGGCATTAGTGAGACGGGAGCCATTAAGATGGTTGATGAGCATCTGGACAAGAAAATAGGCAAGCATTAAGCATACATACTCGCATTTATGTAAGGCTAAGCGTAAATTACAAATTCCCTGCTTTCAGAACTCATAAATCAAGTTATCAATTTGAGGCACTCAGCGAGTAAGCTCAAAGTATTTGCATCCGTTGGCGGCTGGACCGTGGATTCGAAGTTGATGTCGAATATGGCAGCCGACATGCGTAAGCGTGATCGTTTCTTTTCCTCAGTCATAGAGTTCTTGTACTCCTGGCACTTCGATGGACTTGACTTGGACTGGGAATTCCCCACGCAGCGCGGAGGTCGTCCAGAGGATCGCAATAACTTCGTAGTCTTGCTGGAGGAACTAAAGATCATGTAAGTTTTTAAATACCTAGGTTCATCTGACGAATATCTATCAACCGTTCCCAATTCTACAGTCTACACGAGCACAAGTTCCAGCTTTCAGTAGCAGTGGCTGCACGGACCGATGAAGCTACACTCGCCGCTTATGACATTCCCAACATTGTAAAGCACGCAGATCTGGTTAACCTAATTACCTATGACTTTGATCGTCCATTTGGTAAGCACGTGGCCCACAATGCTCCACTGTACGGTGCTGGCAATGCCAGCAGCGTCGAGCGTGCCGTACGCCAATGGGTGAAGCAGGGTGGAAAACCCGCCAAACTCTTGCTCGGCATACCCTTCTTCGCCCAAACATACACCCTGAAGCAGCTGAGCAATACGAGCGTGGGTGCTCCCAGCAGGGGACCCGGCTATCCGGGCGTATCAACATTACAGCGCGGTTTTATGGGATACAATGAGTTCTGCATGCGTGCGTCTAAATGGACTAAGAAATATGATGAGGAAGCTCATGTGCCCTATGCCATCAAGCACAGTCAGTGGCTGAGCTATGAAGATGGTCGCAGCATAAACGAGAAGTTGAGGCTTCTCAAGTCCTTAAATTTGGGAGGGGCCATGGTCTGGTCCATCGATACGGATGACTTTCGGGGTAATTGTGGCGAGCGCTTTTCTCTGTTACGTATCGTCAATGCTGGCATTGGGGATGCCAAGCTCTTAACAACACAGGCCCCCACGACGGAGGGTTTTGGTATGTGTCCCCAAGATGGTTTCTTTCGTCATCCATGGTTCTGCGAATACTATCATGAGTGTCGCGATGGTCAGCGCTTTGACTACGAATGCATCAATGGAGAGTATTTTGATGCAGATCTTGGTCAATGCAGCGCTGCTAGTTCGGTATACTGCCCGCAGAACTTCGTGACCTGGAAGCCCGGGGAGAGGGTATACAACTTTCGCGACCTACCTCTGAACCTGAAAATTGCTAAATAGCTGCACTCAAGTATTAATACATGAACACACAATTTAGAGATTAATAAATATATCAATTAGGTGCACAGATCTTTACACACACTGGCTACTTTTGTTTTCAGTATTTTAGGAAGTCACATTTCTTAATACGATATGTCTTAATATAAAGGCATAAATTTGTTTATTGTTTGAATTCTGTTAGTTTTTTAACCGACTTCAAAAAAGAAGGTTATTAATTCGTTTTTTTTTTTTGTATGTTCAAACATTCGACTAGGTGATCCCATTTTGATGACTTTTTTGTTAATTGAAAGCTAGTGCTTCTCTAATGGTTCCAATTCAATTTAGTCCAGTTCTGAAAGTGGCATCCATGAGAAAATCATATACAAGTAAGTCGTAAATTTCCATTAAGTATGTGTACGACGAATGGACGAATAACTCAATATCACGCCAACCGATTTCGATGATTCTTTTTTTTAATAGAAAGGATGTACTTCAAGGATAGTTTGATGAGAGTTTGGTTAGGTTCTGATTATGGGAACTCTTCAATTAACGATACTCGGCCGAATCTTTTATAGGCTATTCGGATATTTGTGTCACCTACCGTATTCACAAAGCCACACATAATACAAAATCATAATGCCAATGTTCCTCCAGTATAATTTGCTGATTGTCCGTTAGGACAGATTGCAAATTTAAATCAACTGTTAATCAAAAAAAAAACCTACCGTATCGTCGTGGAGCGGAACGTTTAGTAGGTCTACCCATATTCCTAAAAATTAGTTAGTGTCAGACCACTATCAGATTCACTAAAAATGAACAAACTCGTCCTTACTCAGGAGAATCTAGATACCAAGTTTGGTTATTCTAGCTCTTATACTTTCTGAGATCCTTGCGTTCATACAGACAGACAGACAGACAGACAGACAGACGGTTAGACGGACAGACGGACATGGCTATATCGACTCGGCTTGTCATCCTGATCAAGAATATATATACTTTGTGGGGTCTGCCACGCCTCCTTCTGTGTGTTCCATGTACACTCGCACAAAACTAATATACCCTTTGCGTACAGGGTATAAAAAACAATACTTTTAACAAAATAAATACCGACTTCAAACTATTCCAACACAAATTAAAAAAATAATTGATGAAAAGTAAAAAAATAATTGATTATTCTACTATAACAATGTAGGTACAAATTTGTTTATTTTTGGAGTCGGTGTCAGCCAAGGAAATGCTTTTTACAAATTAAATTATATACGAACGATAATGAGTTGTGAGGACCTACTGTGACAGAATTGCATCACCCAATTAAACCCATTTGCGAAGTAACTTTTATACGACAATATACTGTGACAATAAGTGCAGCTTTGAAACAAGAAAAGTACCAATACCTAAATAAACCCAATACTACCCTACTACTACAACCCTGTACTACTGTGTAAATATCCTTTAAACGACAAAAACACAGATACCTAACTAAACCAAACAAATGAACTTTGATACGACACTGTGCTGAGACATAATCTAGCAAAAGGTGATACGGAAACATAAGGAATTATCGTAAGAAGGACCGTGTAGATATAGAAGTAGAAAAGAATCTGAAACGGTTCGTAATTAAGTGACTCGTATCGCTCCTTTTTCTTTTCAGTGCATATTCATTTGTGTTGGAATAGTTTGAAATCGGTATTTATTTTGTTAAAATTGTTATTTGTTTTATCTTGAAAGCCAAGATGTGGATCTAGTTATGTTCAAAGAGCTCTTAGTTTTAAATCGATCGTTTAAAATTTATAACACAAACTTTTTAATTGAAAATAAAAGAAGAAATCCCAATAATACAGACCCCAAGAAAATTAAAAAAAAAAAACGAGTATGGAGTTTTGTGTGATTCTTTTCGTTTTGCTTATTACAATAACAGATAACTTGACTGAAAATGTCAGCCTTACCGTTTGGGTTGTGAGTTTATTGGAAGTAGTTTTAGTGTATATTATATTTTATGTACATTATCATCAACCTTGTTGTTATTGTAAAACATATATTAGATATAGATCAGACACAATATATTCGTAATTACCATAAAAGACAACTTGACTGAAAATGTTAGCTTTCTAGCTATTATCGTTTGGGGCTGTGAGTTGATTGTACTTACATAGTTTTTCACGCGAAAATCTCAATATTTCAAGCTGCGAAATTGGAAATGAGGATTGGGAGAGTTTTACATACAATTTATTACAGTGCCCTACACAATGTAGATACCTGGATATCAACCTTGTTGTTATTGTAAAACATATATTAGATATAGATCAGACACAATATATTTGTAACAAGAGTATTGCGTGCATTCTAACATTATAGCCATACGTGTTCGGAGCATTCTATAAATATGCATGCCAGTTGAGATTTCGAGTGACTAGTGCATCGAAAGTTGCACGCGACTATATCAATATTCGATATGAAGTGCGCTTGGGTATTGCTGTTTGTCTTGGTGGAGTTGCTGCACCAAATGGCGGTATTGCTATAATTTTCGCATCGCCTTTACAATGCGAACTCATTTTCTTTTTGCGTTTTCAGTGCGAGCAATCCTATGTGGTGAGCAATGAAAAACTGGAGCCTTTCGATGGCGAATCGGACACACTTGTGCGCTTCGACAGCTTGAAGACGATAGGACGCGAACGTGCGCTAAATGGTTCATTTACTTTTCTGGGCGATATGAGCAATGACGACTTCAAAGTTTCGGTTGAGCTATACTCCAGCCCCAATGGCGATGGCGATTTCAAACGCATGGTCATGGATGTGCCGCAAACTAGCATATGCGAGTGTTTCAAGAAGTTCTATGTACAATTTGTGCAGCCCTCGTTAAAACAGGGCGAAACAACCAATTTCCCCATTGTGGATGAGGACACATGTCCCATACCTGAGGGCACTTACTACATCAAAAATGTGCTCTTTAATACCGAGGATTGGCCGCAGCAGGTGCCGCGTGGCATTGTCAAGGCCATAATTACATTCTGGAGTGGTGGAAAAAATGTTGGTGGACTCATAGTGGTGGTGAAGATTGAGGATCGGCAAAGCTAGATCTCCAGCTGCGAACTACGAATTGCATATTGCACATTGTACTAGCAGAGTTAATTGTTAAATAGTTCTAGCACGCATAAAGGTCTTTGAAAGCGCGCGCTATTTTTCCTTTTGGGCGGGGGCGCCCACGCGAAAATCCTGGCAAAGCGAAGAGCACAAGGATTGCGTGTGCCAAGCACTAAACGGGGCAAAACAATGGCCAACAAATGCCGGAAAGTGTCAGAGCGCAGGCGCCGAGCTTTCTCCAAACACCGAAAGCTGCGGGCTGTTTCTAGTGCTGCAAAAGTTTATGGCGACAGGATAATAAAAGCTCGTTTCATCACAAAACTTAGCACAGTCTGCGGCAGGAAGGCCCAGTGCATGCGCCTTATAAGTGAAAAATGTAAGACGTAAAAGGCAAATACTAATTGGCAGAAAACTACATACATACCGTGGAAAGAAAAACTACAGCTATCGGCGACAGTTCTCAAATATTTTAAATATTATCGGCCTAAACCGAGCTAAAAACTGAGTTGTGCTTAAAGAAAATATGTCGGGGCTCCACTGAGCCCAGCCAAGGTGGTAAGTAATTTCAAAGAACTGCCAAAGCAATTGCATTCACATCGCATCGTAACGCGTCGCGACGCGCAACTCAAGGTTGTGCGATGGGTTCTAAGGGGGTGGCACCCAAATGTGTTTTCGATTTTTCATGCCGCCGCTTTCAAAAAAGTTCAACAATAGCAGCCGACACAGAATGGACAAAGAATAAGGAATATGAAGTGCGCGTCGAAACTTTGACAGCTCTGCACCCACGGCTTATTAATGCTCAAGACCGAGTCCCAGCCCGTGCCAGTGCCAGTGTCCGTGTCCGAGTCCATGTCCGTGACTGTGTCCGCACCCAACGCTTTGTCTGTTTACTCAATTAGGTATCAGTTTTCCTCAATGCCGAGCGTCCAGAGGACAACCAATTCAAGAGTTGGTGGCTCCAGTGAATGTCAATGTTAGTGTGATGGTGAGTGTGGCTGTTACTGTAACTGTAAATGGATATATACTATATATGTACCTAGGTACATATGTATATACTTACTTGTACATATGTATGTATGGGAACTATGTGTATAAATGTATTTGTGTGGTTGTGGGTGCGGTGTCACTTGCATTATGCGCCATGTTGTTTGTTTGTCTGTCTGTCTGTCTGTCTGTCCGTTTGTGCGATTTGTGTAACTGCGTCGGATTCATTTCCATTTGATATGCGCACTCTTGGCGTATGCTGATCATCCTAACGCTGCTGCTGCTGCTGATGATGATGATGCCACCACACAAACATTTCATCATCATGAGGCGTCTGTCTCTGACCCCGTGCCTGGATATCGATGTGAATGTGAATGTGGGTGGGAATGAATGAAGATACATATCTATGTTAATATATTTACATATGTACATACATATATATATATATATATATATATATATATATATATATGTAAGATTTATTAGGTTTATAAATCGTTTAATAAAGTATATCGAGTATTTGACAAACAATAAGAATAGTATTATATAATAACATAAGACTTAAAAATATGTTTAGACGCCGACTTTTGCAACTTCTGACCAACTTTAGTGACTGCTGTACAACTTTACTACTGACGACTGAATGCCACGACTGCTGCTTACGACTGTTGAAAAACGACTATCCCACGACTTCTTCTTAATTACACCTTCGCCTGATCGGGGGTGCCAACTGATGATAATGGCACAAGGATGCCACTTTACACTCGGCCATCCTGCTCATCATCTGTCTCAGATGATTCTCCAGCTTCATCGTCTTCGTCTTGACCCATGTAACGCCACAGTTTCATAGAATCAGTACAAGTTGAAGTCTGATTCGGACCCTGGAACTCTGCAACTTTCTTCACGTCGAACCTTCCATTACGTTTTATTTTGGTAACCTCGTATGGCCCGATATATTTCGGAGCCAGCTTTTTACCATTTACAAACTGTGTTACTTTAATGGCTACTAAGTCTGCTAATTGGTAACCACTATGCTTACGTCGCTTTTTGTCAAAATTCTTCTTGTAGCAACTTTGAGCTTTTTCAATCTGTACTCTGGCATCAGCTCTGATTTGGTTGCGTTCATCCTGCAAGCCTTCCAGTAGCTCGTCCTGAAGAATTTTCACCACTTCCAGATCAGATTCATTACGCATTTTGACGCCGAACATAATTTCAAACGGAGTGTACTTCGTAGATGAGTGGACATGTGTATTAATAGATCGTTGCACCTGTGATGTATATTTATACCATTTTGACGGCTCGGCTGCAGACATTTTTGACAAAACAGACAGAATAACTCGGTTGACTCTCTCTATCTGCCCATTTCCTCTTGGGATCCCTGTAGTAGTCTCGATGTGCTCTATTTTGTGTTCCTCACAAAAATCTTTAAACTGCTTCGATATAAATGCTGCTCCTTTGTCGCTGATAATACGCCGTGGATTCCCAAAGATAGCTACCCACGAGCTGATATGTTTAACAACTTCTTGCGCATCGGTAGACTTTGTTGGATACAACCATGTGTATTTTGAAAACCCGTCAACAGCAGCGAATATGTATTTGTACTTCTTTGCAGTCAGGTCCAATGATCCCAAATGATCTACATGGAGTGTACTCAGCGGCTGATCTTCTTTGTCGATACAATGCAAAAAATCATCTTGTTTACCCAGCTTTCTGTTATGTGTTATACACTCAATGCAATTCGCGATAAATTCCACAACTTTTTTCTCTAAGTGTGCTATAAAATAGTCCTGCTGAATGTGATGCATGGTTTTCTTCACACCCATATGACCAAAGTTATGAGCATTCCTGATAACTTCTTTTTCCATGCATTTCGGTACGGCTAGCAAATCAATACCATCTACTTGTTTATAAATCAGCTGATTTCTGACCTTGTAGTTTGCGTATGGTTTCAGTTTTAAAATTTCTGCAACTGCAACTAAGGTTTCATCTTTGCGTTGGGCCTTTAAAAATTGTGCCTGAACTTCTGTGCTTACGATCATGACTGGGAATCGACTGAGGCTGTCGACATGCTTCATCCTTATACCAGCGCGATGTTCTATGGTATACGTAAAATCTTGCAGATACATTAACCACTGCACTACTTCTCTGGGAATTTCTTTTTTCGTTGATGTCATCTTAAACGCTGCGCAATCAGTAACGAGAACAAATTCAATGCCCATTAAATAATGTCGTAGCTTTTTTGTTGCTAAATATGCTGCTTTCACTTCCAAAAAATAGCTATGCAACTTTTCTTCTTGAGGTGTCGTTTTTTTACTCCAGTACAGAATAGGATGCCACTTGCCATCATGCTGCTGGAGAAGAGTAGCACCAAACCCATCTTTTGACGCATCAACATGTAACTGTGTTGCCGCATTCTGCATAAATATCTTCAATACTGGTTCATTCGTCAAAGCATTCTTTAATTGTTCTATCGCCTGTACATGTAACCCTTCAATTTTGAATTCGGCTTCTTTTCTCAACAATTGTGTCAACGGTCTGGCTAGTAATGCATAATCTTTAACGAACTTTCGAAAATACCCCGTTAGTCCAAGAAAGGCCTGTACTCCCCGTATGTTTTTGGGAAGAGGAAAATTCTTCACAGCTTTTACCTTTTCTTGACCTGGCCAAACACGTCCGTTTTCTACTTCATGACCCAGAAAATTTATTTTCTTCTTTAAGAACTGACACTTGGCCCATTTTATATCAAGCCCATACATTTCTGCCTGCTTCAGTACAATTCGCATATTTTCCAAACATTGACCAGCTGAATCTCCGAAAATAACTATGTCGTCAACATACATCTCCATTATGCCTTTGTTAATCAATGTTTGAAATATGTAATTAACGTATCGTACGAACACTGCTGGGGAGTTGCAAAATCCAAAGGGTGCCCTATTAAATTCATACAACCCTTCCTTGGTAACAAACGCTGTATACTTTCGACTTTGCTCCTCTACCTGCACATGAAAAAAGCCATTTCGCAAATCCATAACAGTAAAATATTTCGCATTTTGCATCTTCTCGAGTACTTCTTCGACAACTGGTACTGGGAACCTATCCTTAAGTACGAGGGTATTCAGCTTACGATAGTCCACACATAATCGGTAGGTCCTATCTTTCTTTTTGGCCAACACCACCTTGCTTGCAACGTTTGACGACGACTCTCTGATAATGCCACAGTGAAGCCATTCATCCACCTGTTTTCGTACAAATTCACGTTCTGTTGTAGACAATCGGCTTGGACTTTCGCGAAAAGCGATGCTTGGAACATTCGGTATGATGGTCATTTTTATTGGGCATTCTACTGCATTGTCCACCGGCTTGTAATTGGCGATCATTTGTTTGACTGGTTCGGCATACTGGGATTCAACATTTAAATCGATCTCGCTTGCTGGACTTACCACGTTAAAAACATTCAACTCAGACTGCTCATCATCAGCTTTTGTTTGCGCCTGTACGAACGTGTAACCGTTGGAATTTAGTGTGACAGTAAACTTCTGTAAAAAGTCATAGCCAACAATTATTTCAACTTTTAGACTTGCATCTGGTACAACAAGAAATGTATGATTTGTCACAAAACCATCGACCTCAACTGTTTCTGTAAATTCACCCAACACGACAGTGGCAATATTGCCTAAGCCAAACAGTTTAGTAAAATTCTTTTGCAACTTTTGGTCACCGAAAATGTTTTCATATTTTTGTTTTCGCATAAGTGAAACATCCGCGCCAGTGTCAATCAAACACGATACAACTGCTTTCCCGATTTTTATTTCTTTAACGCGATTTTCCTTTAATACAATGTTAACGCTTTGTTTGCTTGCCACGCACTGCTTCGCTATGTGACCGACACCGTTACACTTAAAACATTTTGTTTCTCGTTTACATTCTGCCCGCTTATGTTCTGTTGAACCGCAATTGTAGCAATGCTGCTGTTGTTGTTGTTTGTCTCCTACTTTATCAACGTTTTCGCGACGTTTGTTATACGAACTGCTCTTTGCCACTAATTCAGTAAGCTCATACCGACTTCGAAGTTCTTTGTACGTGGGCGCACTGTACAACGGAAATTTTAGATCGTCACGCACGTCTAAGCCATCAACTATATAATTTATAACCGACTGATCTTCAACTTGTCCAAGTGATGCTATTTTTCGCATCTGGAGCACATAATCATGAAAATTTTCCGACACACGCTTTTTCCGCTTTTGCAACATTTTATGTACTTCGGCACTGCTCAGCTGTTTATCAAATTCTTCTATTAAGGCTGCACATAACATTTCATAATTTGATACAGTAATAGTTTCCACAAATAATTTGGCCGTGCCAACCATTTTATTTCTTGCATTCACATACTTTTGTTTTTCACTTAATTCGTATGCCTCGGCGTTTTCGTCGAAATTATTTACCCACTGCTTAACTGGTATAGCTATGCCATCGAAATCAGGGACTACTTTTGCAAAGCTTTCCACCGACACACTGTTCTTGTTTGGGTTAGAATCGTTCTTTTCACTCAGCATTTTAATTAAAATTGACAA